ACAAAAAATAAAATAGTAAAATAAAATAAATATTAAAAGATTGGCATCAAAGGACACATAGACTGATAGATATAGAGTTATTAATAAAATTAAAAAAAAAAAAATGTAACTTTAAAAAAAGAAAAAAATTCCCCTTTCCCTCAAACTTTGCGTGACCCCCCTGGCGGCCCCCACTTTGAGAAACACTGGTCTAGTTCATCGATTTTTTTGTATTGGTATTATTTTTTCCTTTTAGAGGCCTTAAAAAGGTCTTAAAAGTCATTACATTTGTACTTAAAAATAGTGCAGATACCCTGCATCACACAACACATCCACACATTGATCACCTGTTGTGTTTTTGTATTTTACAATGTTAAGATCCTGATTGTTGGAGGAATGTTTTGGATGTTTTGAAGTGGGTTTGGTGAGGTACTTTCCAGAACTTGGCGTATTCCTCAAACTAGATGTTTGGAGAAGCAGACAAGTTTACCAGCACAGGAGCAAAGCAACCCAATGGACAGGTGGAGCACTAAAATGTATTATAGCCACCCCAAAGAAAGACAAAAAAATGAGTCTAAGTGTACGCTACAGTTAAAAAAAAAAAATCCGCTTTGGGAAGAAATGTATCAACGATCGATGTACCTGTGTAACAGTTGGGTTACAAATCTTGCTAAGATATTCTTCAGTTTGTCTAAAAACAAAACACAAATAATAAAGCACTGTGAATAATCTAATTATGCACTGTTTATAAAATATTGGCGCTTATATGCTTATGCACAATAACAACTAAAAAGTTTGAATCACAAAGACATAATGAAGAAATCTCCTATCTGATTGAGTTGAAATGAACTTGACGATTTCCCCAACCCTTCTTGTTGTCTGTTCCTCAGTCCATCACCAGTGACCCGGCTGTTTGTAAAAACACACCATCTGCTGATTCAGTGGCTGTTATAGGCATCTGTAACTGCCAATTGTAACCACTTCCTGTTGTGTTTGTGTTTAGGAAACAGGAGGAGCTGGTGTACAGTGTGAGGAAAAGGCTGGAGGAGGCCCTGATGGCCGACATGATGGCGCATGTCGAAGAGGCTTCCAATGACGACGAGGCTCTGAAGGACGACGGCGACGGCAGCGAAGATATGGAGAGTGCATAGCACAGGTTGGTTAAAATATAGGACTTCATTTAACCTTTAATTAAACCAAGGAACGTTTCATTGCGATTAAAAATCTCTTTCACAGGTTTTTTGTATGAATCATGGTCAAGATAAGCAGCAGCACAGATGAAGGCAACTCATTAAAAACAGAGAGCATATCATAGTCACAATCAGAAACATTACTAAATAAAATATCTTCAGTTGCCTGCTGCTTGGGTCAGTAAGAAGCACTTTAAATCTGTTGAGAGAGACCATCTCCCTGAGTTTCAGCTCATATTGCAGCTAGTTCCCATCTACACGTGGTCAAGAAGGACCATTCAACCCGAGCATACAAGGAGCAATGCAGTGTTCAAGGGTTTTAAAGTTTGGAATAAATCACAGAGCCACATGGGAGACAGTATCCAAAGAGTGTAGGCATTAAGAAGATGCATTCAGATAAACATCATCATAGTCAAGCCCAAACATGAAGGTTGCAGCAGACAAGTCTCTCTTTGGCCACAAACAGAGCTGGGGGGTATACTACGAAGCAGGATTTTCGCTTAGCCGGCTAGCTTCAGGGAAAACTCCGGCTTTCCGGTCTTACGAAGCAGGTTCTCTTTTTAGCGGGCTAGCTCTCCATGGTAAGTTATGCTGAGCGGCTAACCTGCCCCGGAGCAGGTTAGGTTGCAGGCTAAGAGATCAACTCAGTGAAAGCACAGCCTGCTGACCAATCAGAGCTCAGCGTGCGGAGTTTAAAGCAATCAAGTCACAGGAGAAAGGAAATACAGTTTAAATTGCCGTTGCAGGAAAGACGGCCGGCAAAAATCACCGACTGTGTGAACGTGAACATTAATAGAATATCACCTCCCATCTTCAGAGCAATCTGACTATTATAACATTAGAGTTAAGAAAGCTTACTTAAATATCTGCCACAACACAAGTAACCTTATCAAAGTAACATTAAGTACAGTCCGCGGCACTGTGAGTGCAGACGTCGATGTGTCCCATTATCATTCATATCATATCATAGTGTATCATATATTTCCTTATCTGAGTCAGCTTCTTTAGCCGTATCTGGCCGTGCAACAGTATTAAGTATGAAGTATTATTTTAAGCAACACATTAAGTTGATGAAACACTCGAGTCAAATGTAATTAAAGTCAGATCCACTCGTGCCTTAGTGATATCATAAACCTGTTAATGTACGCATTCAAACACTTGTTCTGTTACCAGCTGTATTCACCTTGCAGGTGCAGCTATGTGGCTTTGATCCTGGATAAAGTGTTTAAGTTATGGATGTTTAAAGTTTAACTTCTTCATATTTGACTAATATTATAGTTTTAATTCAGGAAGTATGCTTGGCTTCTTCATGTTTGTGATTGTTCGAATGCTCCAGATACCACCCCTTTTATGTGAACGCGCACCTAACTAGATAGGACACGGCTGGCC